ATATATATATAAACTTTTGAGGCTTAAATCATTCTTTTTTGGGATACAATTGTTTTTATTCCTGTATTTTAGGGAAGGATCTACAGGGTGTTTAGAGTCTCACTAGATCAGACTTGTAGTGATTTTCCTGTGTATAGCCTCCCAAGTGCTGGCATGCGCCACCACGCCCAGTCTCAGTTGCCATCTCAGCACACCCCAGAGGCGGGGCAGGCACAGCAGGCCCCTGTATTGAACCCTAACATTGATTTTATGCATAAGAAAAGAATAGGGTGGTAGTATTAAAGTCTACTATGTCCTTTTGAAATGGTGTTTATGAAGTAATTCATTGTTAACATTTGTATAAAACAGTATTTTGGGTGTTTGGGTTTTGTTTTGTTTTGTGGTGCTGGAGATCAAACCCAGGGTCTTGTGCATGCAAGGCAAGAGCACTACCACTGAGCCACATCTGCAGCCCTAAAACAGTGTTTTAAAGGTCACACTGGATTTCTTTGTGCAAAGGCTATTTATTGGCAGATAGTTCTGTTTTTATACCGCGAGTAGTCTCAGAAAAAGCTTTGTCTTCTGCTCCACAAGAAAAATGTTATGTTGAAAGGGTTATGAATTAGTATTAGAGTTAGATTCATAATTTTTTTCAAGCCAGGTGTGTGTGCTGTATTCATAAAATCTAAATACATAATCAGATGTTCTTCAGTTTATGAACTTTTTTTTTTTTTCCACTGTCTTGGCAATGGTTATTTTTAAAACTTTATTCAGTATTGTCTTGACCATGATTAAAAGATGACATCGTCTTGTGACCTTCCAGAGGGTAAATGTGTCACAGCTCATGTGCAACTCCTCACAGTCCTAGCTTGGTCCTCCTCCAGTGTCTCCTCTTGGAGTTGTACCTGATTTTATTACCTGTCTTCATACAAATCCACTGAGGAATGGGGCGATTCTACTTTTGCTTCTTGGCCAGGAATCGTTTGATTCTGAAAGTCTTGTGAGAAGACATGGTGCGGGTAGGGGGCAAGAGCAGTTTATGAACTTTTAAAATGTGTAAAAGGGCAAGAAAATGTATGTCTCCCAAGAGAAGCATGGGAGATCAACTAGTTAGTTTAAATTGGGAGTAGAGTTTCACAAAAGCTACGTTTTTGCCTTGCATCCAGGTCCAGACCCTCTGATTTCAGTTTTCTTTTTTCTTCTTTTTTTTTTTTTTTTTTTTTTTTTTTTTTGGTGCTAGTAGGGTTTGAACTTAGGGCCTCCTACATCCTGAGCAGGTATTCTGCTATTGAATTAAATTCCTAGACCTTGATTTCAGTTAAAATCTCTTTAGTAAACTGTTATACTTTTAGCAACAGTGTCATTAGGACAGCTGTATAATAATATGATAATTACGTCTTAGTCATATAAAATATCAGAGCTGGGTATGATAGTGCACACCTGTATGTATCCTATAGAATCCCAGCCCTTGGGAGACTGAGGCAGGAGGTTCACTGTGAGTTCGAGACTGGACTGGGCTACGTAGTGAACTCAAGGCTAGCCTGATTTACACAGCGAGACCCTGTCTCAAAATAATAAAACCATGATTGTATAAAATGGGCAGACAGATACTCATCATAGCTATATAAGGAGACTATTCTGTAATGTGCATGTGACTAATAAAAAGGTAAGATGTGAAATTGAACCCAAGTTAATATTAAGTATAATGACAATATTAAATGCTTTTTTTTTTTCTATTTCATACCTTCAACTCAGAAAGGTTTGCTGAAATTTTTTGGATTCCCTTAATTTTGAACATTATCTTTTTTGTATCTTCCTTGTCATTTTTTCTTTCTTTCTTTTTTTTTTTTTTTTGCAGAACAAAGGATTGAACTCAGGTCCTTGTGCTTGCCAGGCAAGTGCTTATTCTACTGAGCTATCTCCCTGACCCTCTTTGTCATTTTTCTGTAGTAAACAGAATTCAAAATTGTTTCACTATTTATATAGAAGGTGTTTTTTTTTTATTGGTACAGTTGTAGTAAGAATGAATAAAAGTACCATAAAAGGTGCAGATAAATGGAGAATTATCAGAGAAGCAATGAAGAAATGAGAGGTAAAGACTCTTTAAATACAGTAATATACTTTAAAGAACTTGAATAGTTTTGTTTTGTTTGTTTTTTGGTGGAACTGGGGATTGAACTTCGGTCCTTGTGCTTGCCAGGGAAGCACTTATTCCACTGAACCATCTCCCCGGCCCCTTGAATAGATTTTTAAAACTTTATTCTAGGACATAAGTTGGTGATTTAAATAAATGTGCCAATTAATATAAACTTGGACTTGGAATACTTTCATGAACTCAAACTTTCTCATTGGTTTTCTGGACTAGATTCAATATAATAGAAGAAAAAGTTATTTGTGAAAACTTTAGTCTTAAAGACTACAGCTGAAAACAAAAACAAAATTCCTATGGCTATTCTGCATTCAGTCAGTAACTTTGAAAAAAGCAAATAAGTAAAAATTAAAAAGACTAGCTGAAAACTCAGTTGATATCATAGGTCCTACCATCAGTTATCATAGAAAAGTAATAGCTTTGTGATGTTCTTCAATCCAAACTTATTTAATTTTGATTATTAATGTCATTTTTAAATTATTTTAACAGTGTGATGCCATCAGTGTATTGGAGAAAGAACATGACTACAGAGATGAACATTTTGATTTCATCCAGTCATATATTCGGAAGTTTTGTTTACAGTGTATCCTTTCAATACATTTACTGATGTGGTGTGCCCTGCCTGCTTTGTTTTCTAAGTAATTAAATTAATGTTTTTTAGAAGTTTTGTGAATGTTATTCCTCCTGTCTGAATGAAAATTTCATTTTTATTCTAAAGTTATTTATATCGGGATATTTGGAGATAGAAAAAAGAACTGAAATATATAACTTTGATTTGCTGTGTTTAAAACTGTATTAAGAAGAATAGTGATCTGTTCTATGTGGAAAAGTCTAATGCTAGTGCACAGGCATTGCAGATATACCTGATTATTCATTTACTAGGTATGAGTGGTAGGCAAGGTGAATTGTCTGGTTTATATATTGTCATTCATAGTTTCTTTAGTATGTTATCATCTCCATATATAGCCTAACTTAGTGGTTTCAAAATTGATGTGTTTTTCTAAGCCATATTGATTGGCCTACTCCAAGGTAAGACTGAAATAGTCTACTTTTTAAAACTTCATGGATTCTTTTTATGATCATAAGATAGGAAAACCTGTCAAAGGGAGTCTTTCTAATACAGGTTATAAGGATTCAGTAAGCCAGTAAATAACACAACTAAAAGAGAGGTAACAGAGATGATTAGTAATACACATGTTCCTAGTGTCCACAGTCTAAAGAGAGCTGGGTGTGGTGGTACATGCCTGTAATCCCAGCTTTCAAGAGGGTGAGGCAGGAAGATTGCCATAAATTCAAGGCTAGCCTGAGCTACACAGCAAGAGCCTGCCTCAACAACAACAAAACAGGAATAATTGAAGCAATGTCGAAAGCCTATTTTGTTATCTTTGCAAAATAGAAAATTTGAGAACAGCGTCTTTAAACATTTAATACTAATCTTAAGGATGTAAATTTAGAAATACAATGAAGGAAGTTGTCCACTAAAAAATTGACACTTATAGCTAGTTAACTTTTGAAAGAATGTAGAATGTGAAAAGTCACATCAAGATAGTGAGTGAGCTATGTGTTTTATCAGTCAGTGAAGGTGACAATCTAGAATCTTTATTTAAAAGTAAAAATTTTTAATTGTTGTATAACATATTCAGTTATAAAAATCTTCCAAATTATAAATTGGTTCTTACTGTAAGAAAGATGATTAACACGGTGTTAATATAATTAAGTTTTTGCTTAAGATTATGTTTGTTTCTAGCAAGCTACGTTGTATTTAGCAGTACTACTTTTAGGCTGATAAGCAGGCTAATGTCCTAGAAGACAGTGATATGCCAGTTGAGAAGTTAGATCCTCCCAGCATTTCACATTGGTTGAAGTCACTATTTCTTTCCTTCTTAAGAATATGATGGGGATGGGGTAATAACTTGGCAGTCTACATGCCAGCCTGGCAAATACAAGGACACAGGTTCAATACTCAGCCCTGCATGCCATGCCACCCACTGAAACAAGATGTAGTAGCGCACACCTGTAATACCAGTGCTGGGGAGGCTGAGACAGGAGGATCACTACAAGTCAGAGCTGTATAGTGAGACCCTGAACCAAATAAATAAGTAAATGTTAAAAATTGTTTAAAAAGATGGCCAGTGCGAGGTGGTGGTCCTTAGGGGTTAGTTACAGAATTTCCCTTAAATGCTCCAAATACATCATCCATCTGCCCTTTTCCACAGGTGTTCTGGTCTTTTAATCCACTGGTTTTTTTACATAAAAGGCCAAAAGTAATATCTGCCTTAAATAGTACATTTTCATGTGAGGTGGTAGTGCTTCATGTTTTGGTCCTAAAAGCTACTCTTCCCACCTCCTCCCCCACCCCATACAGAGTCTCAGACTCAGGACCTCATGCCTGTCAGGCAGGTACCATGCTGCTGAGCTACATCCTTGGCCCAAAAATCTACTTTAGCCCTTGATCATTCTAAAATCTCCTGGTGGTAAATTGCACTCACCTTTTCTTCATATTGGGTCTTTTCAACCCTCTTCTGTGAGTCTTGTAAGCCTTACGCTTGAAGTCTTATTTCCTGAAATTAGTAAAAAGCTATGAGATACTAGTGCAAACCATTTTTGTTGAAAAATCAAAAGGGTTCTTGATAAATAATGTCCTGGGGTCAGAGATGGATCTCAGCAGCACAGCACTTGTCTGGCAAGCATAGCAAGCATGCAAGCATAGCAAGCATAGGCTCTTTTTTTTTGTTTTGTTTTGTTTTTTTTGTTTTGTCCTTTTTGAAACAGGGTCTTGCTCTATGGTTCCAGCTGGCCTTGACCTCACTTTGTAGCCCGGGCTAGTCTCAAACTCTCAATGATCCTCTTGCCTCAGCCTCCTGAGTGCTGGGATTACAGGTGTGCACTACCACACCTGGCAAGTGTAAGGTTCTGAGTTTGATTTCTAATACCACAAAAGAAAAAGAGGGCCGGGGAGATGGCTCAGTGGAATAGGCGCTTCCCTGGCAAGCGCAAGAGCCTGAGTTCAATCCCCAGTTCCTGAGGAAAAAAAAAAGAAAAAGAAAAAAAAAAATCCTCAGTGAAATTTAAGGTAAAAGAACAAAAGTAAATTGTGTGCTTTAAATACAGTATGTTGTCAGTGTTACTAAATTTTCCTTTATTTCTTGGTTTAATGAACTTCTACCCACTTAAATTGATTATGTAAATATTTTATTTTTTTAATCTGTATGTATTTTATACTTTTGAAAGTTCTTTTTTTTTTTTTTTTGAAAGTTCTTGATACACCTTTGTAAGTTATTTTTTAAAACCAATGAGCGGTGCTTCCTGTTTCCTCTTTCCTTGGGACCCGCCAACATGGGCCGCGTTCGTACCAAGACAGTGAAGAAGGCAGCCCGCGTGATCATTGAGAAGTACTATACGTGCCTGGGAAACGATTTCCATACCAACAAGCACGTGTGCAAGGAAATCGCCATCATCCCCAGCAAGAAGCTCCGCAACAAGATAGCAGGCTATGTCACACATCTGATGAAGCGGATACAGAGGGGCCCTGTGTGGGGTATTTCCATCAAGTTGCAGGAGGAGGAGAGAGAAAGGAGAGATAATTACATCCCTGAGGTCTCAGCCTTGGATCAGGAAATCATTGAAGTAGATCCTGACACTAAAGAAATGCTGAAGCTTTTGGACTTCGGCAGCCTCTCCAACCTGCAGGTCACACAGCCTACCATCGGGATGAATTTCAAAACACCACGTGGAGCTGTTTGAATCTTTTTGCTGTGCTGTAATGTCAATAAATTTGGGACAATGAAAAAAAAACAAAACAATGAGCATATAAATGCAAAGGTTAGAGGGCCAGGGACACAGCTCCATGGCACAAGTGCCTGCCTAGCAAGCACAAGGTCTTGTGTTCAATTCCTGGTTAAAAAAAAAAAAAAAAAATAGATGTAAAGGTTAGGCCGAGAACAGAATTTTATGGTACTAATTCATAAGATTTATTCAGAATTTCCCTTTAACTTATTATTCAGATGGTGCAGCACTTATTTACACTTCAGTAAAAGAAAATAAAAATATAGACTTAGTATATAAATACATCGTTCAGAAACTATATGGATTTCCCTATAAGATTCCTGCTGTTGTTGTGGAAAAGGATGCAGTATTTATGTAAGTATAAAAACCTTTCACATGTTAGGGAAGTGTTATACCCCTGAGCTACATCTTGGAAGTACCCTTTTAAATATATTTTATCATGTGTTATTGGTAGTGCTTCCTGAGTCACCAGTTTCAGTTCTGAGCTGGGATCAGTAGATCATGAGTAGTGAGACTGTTTCTTACGGGTTTATCACTTTCCTTGATAATCTAAATCAACTATGTATTATTGCCTTTTAGTTTTACTACCTTTTTGAAACGCCTTCGCTACTTCAACTAAACTGCCCATTGGATGCCCATGTTATTATACTATATGATTAGAATATATAGTGACCAAGTACATAATCTAGACATGCTTTTATAGAACTATATCAGTAAAATTGGGAGGTAATAATTACTGTCCTCCCCTTAGAAAAAAACTTTAATAACATTTCAAAATTAGGAATATTGGTAATCATGTGAAGTAGAAATTAGTAAAATAAAAATTGGATATTATAGTTAAAACTAATTATTGGTCAGATTGACTTCATAAAATGTTACCTTTACATGATCATGGATTGAATCAAAAAAATCATTATATAAATGCTTGAGAATTTATTTTCATTTTTTTCCAGTCCAGCAGGGTGGGATAACGATAAGAAAATAGGAATATTACATGAAAATTTTCAGACATTGAAATCAGAAGATAATTTTGAAGACATCATAACTAAACCACCTGTCCGAAAGGTAACAATTTTTATAAATAATTTAAATATTTAGGCTTTAAACTGAGGAACTAATCCTTAATTTTAAGGCTGAAAGTTAAAAGACAAAGATGTCTTTTCTTTTTTTTTTTTTTTTACTTATTTATTTATTTTTATTTATTACATTTATTTATTGTGTGTGTGTGTGGCCAGCTCAGCCCACCAGGGGGCGGGGCTGGCTGGCATGTGGTGCTG